TTAGGCGCCAGCGTGCCTGGAAATCAAAATGAGGACCAAGATAGGTCTCATCTCACAGCCAGGTGGCGAACACAACTTTTTGCGATGGAGTGTCTGCACAAAATCTGCACTACAATTGTCAACTCTGGGAGGCAGGAACACTTGGATCTTCGTTACGCCAAACAGCACGGAATTCCAATAAAAGGGCTCCTTGCTAACCGGATTCCTGATCTCATCAAGATGGCATTTACGTCCAGTGCGGCGTACGTGACGGAAATTCGTCTCTCGGGTCTATTAGTACTGAAGGATGTGGTCGAAGTAAGCACCCCCTATGATAACTTCTCATTCTCTAACCGGCTTTCTAGATATTTTCTTCATCTCCAGACCCCGACTACGATGATGCTCTCCTTCTTGAGCAGCATCAAGCTCCGATTACTGCCGCATTGACTCCAGCCTTTTCTTCGGATTCGACACCAGAGCTCCTGGCTTTTGCTGTGCAAGTATGTGCGATATTTGTCGGGTCGGGGGTCATCAAGGACGTATCAAAGATGGGCCGGATCTTGAAACTACTGACTGGTGCTTTAGATCAGTCCAAAAGTACGTTCTATTACATACAACCCCCGAAGTCGCTAACGCGTAATAGCCTCTGGGTCCTTTGCTATCGGCGAGGTTCAACAAATGTCACCCAATGCGGCCGTGATGCTTAAAATATCCACCTTGACTGCATGGGCGGAGCTTCAAATCGCGAGTATCCACCAGAATTATCTCAAAGCTGTTATCTTGCCCTATCAAGAGACCCTAGCTTCTTTATGGGTCGGTGCTTTGCGAGACTATGCCAGTATTCGAGGTGATACCGAAGTGCTGCAAGAAGCAACTTCGAGTGCTGTCGATACCCTATACCTTAATCTAGGCAAAGAAGTTCTACTTCCAGTAGGTTCTATTTGTTTATTGGTATCTACATCCTCACTTCTGGCTAGTATTACGATAAATCATGGTACAAGATCCTAAAGGCTACATCGGTTATGATGGAATCGCGCAGCCCTTTCATCGTAGCCGCTATGGATGGCAGAGAAGGAGAAAGTCCCCCTAGTTCCTTCCGAAGTGAACCAGCCGCTCTCTTTTTCGTCATCTTTGGTCTGGTCTTTGAGGCTTTGACACAATCTTCGGGATCCAACTCTTCAACATCTGGAGAGTCTGTGACTATAATGGCTCTTGAGTCTCTTGAGCATCTAGTCAGACCTGAATATGCCGGCAACGCCATTCTCGAGGCGTCTATTTTCGATGAGTTTAGTAGCCTTTGCTATCGACTAGCGATGATGGAGACGGCAAACGTTCACATCCCGTTGATTCGCACCATCACAAGCCTCGCCAGCACACAGTTGGGACATGCTAATAAACGGTGAGTGGAATCACACTTTAGAGGGAGGTACTAACTTTTGTCGATAGTTCGAATGCCTCGGATATGTCGTCTCAAGTGCAGCTTACCCACTGTCTCCGGATATGTGCGTACATTCTTCGCCGGGCCTTACCCTCGTCCAGTGGTGGTACATATGGTACGTAGAAATTATAGGCATTACCACTTCTACTCATACCTTTCTTTCGAAAGATTGCACCCAAGAAACACGCATCTTGCTCTTGAAGTCCGCCTTTGATTCACTTATCCAGTTGGGCACACTTTACGGTCCAGAGAGCAGGGGCGATATGGGTGCCATCTCAGTCGCACTTTATTCAGGTACATGGATACATCATACTCCTTCTAGCTCTATCTAACGAGAACTCGATAGAATTACTCAAGGACGAAGCAATGCAGTATGATCTAGTTGGACCCACTCTACCAGCCCTGAAGAAGATACTTGCGACCGCGATTATGTCCCAAGACAAGAGTGATTCCTCTCGCCTTATACAAGGTCTCATCTCTTGTTGTCTCCAAAACATTGAAGAGACGAGGTATGGGAGTCATGCTCACTAGTTGGCTTATGTAACCTCTTTATGTAGCAACCGCTCGGGTATATCGGTTGACCTGAAAGCGAAGAACAACATGTTTGCAGTCGTTCTGGTACTGACCTGCCTACCACCCGACTTTACGCTTAGCCGTGCTTTGGTTGATGAGTGCTGCTATCTCATCTCTCAAAGGATAAATGATGACTCTGAGGTAAGGAACATCCTTTGTCCAGTGCAGGTTTTACTCATGATCGTGTTCAGAATATGCTCGCTGCGACACAATGTGCAAAGACGTTGATAACCGGGTCGTTGGCTCCTTCCTCAAATCCTGCTCTCAAGTATTGCGCTGGCTTGCTCTTGCCGAAGCTCATTCAGCTCGTCGCAACTGCCGCTACCAACGTTGACGATTCAACGAAGCTCTCCAGCTTATCGCCTCCTTTGGACGAGGCCCTCAAGACGTTCACCGCCTTCTTTACTGGAATCCCAGAGCATGGAAGTGAGTTGCTCACTACAAGGTCTTACTTGGAACTAATGAACCTTCCCAGAATCGGCCGCACTCGCCGTTATTTTACCAACTCTGGCACTCTTACTGGACCCATCACGTTCACCACCCTCCAGCCTTCACATCCAAACCGTGCCGATACTGTTAAGCTTTGCTACCTCGGCTCCCGGTCCCTTCAAAGAAATTACGGATAAATTAGATCCGGCAGTACGAGAGGTTCTGGAGCAGTCTGTCCGACAAGCGATTGCGGGTCATCAACAAGCGAATGCTGGCCAAGTAGCCGCAAAACCTCAGATATCCCTCAAGGCATTCTAATCTTTGGGCACTAGACGAAAAAGTTGGGTTAGGAACTGGATCAGGATCATGCTCGCATGCCAAGGCAAACGCAGAAGTATAAAATCTTCATGTAAATATAGTCAATATAGAAAGAATGGATGGTCTCAAACTATCTATCGTCTGAGCACACTCTCAATGTGGACTAGGAAGTACTCTATTCACCAGACGGGCTAGTGAAGATAGCTGATGTCCCATTGGATGCCTGTAGCGGTCCCAGGTAGTTATCCGCCGATTTCAGCTAGGATTGTATTCTGTCGGTGGTTCTCAGCGACTCGCTCGGGGAGATACCTCCTTGTCGGGGGTATTCTGAGCGCTTGCCATCTCGGCGGCCTTGCCCCTCTTTCACCTTGACCACATCCGACTTGGTGCTCGTCTCTTTGAGCAAATTATGTCAGCATCCTGCCCAGGCATCGAACATCAGCCACGCCGTGAACAATGTGCCGGTCGTAGTACACTCGTCGTTCGAGGGTAAAATTGAGCAATTTTGGCCGGTGACTTGAGGCCGTTCATCCTGGGATATAAAGGGCAGGCGTTGCGTCTACCAGAATGCATCGTAAAGCTCCAACTCGCATCTGTGCGCTCTAAACCCATCTTCAAAGCATCAAACTCTCTCGGACATGTCTTATCAAAACGTCGTAGTTGTCGGAGTAAGTGGACATCTCTATGTCTTACTGGAAAGACCAACTCATCCTGAATACTCAACTATAGCCTGGTGGAAAGGTCGGACAATTGGTCGTTCAAGCACTTGTTGCCGCCAACTTTTCTGTGACCGCGTTGGCTCGGCCCACGTCTAGCTATACTGCGCCTCCCAATCTTGACGCCGTCAAAGTCGTAAAAGTCGCCAGCGACGATCACGCCAAACTCGTTGAAGCCTTCAAGGATCAAGATGCCATTGTATTGACCATCGATGGTCACCAGAATGTCCTTGACGCTTCCAAGGTGTACGTGGACGCAGCGATCGAAGCTGGTGTAAAGACGATTATTCCTAGTGACTTTGGAGGGTGAGCTAGTTTATCTAAAGAAGCGAGAACAACATCTAACATGGTCGTGTCTAGTCTTTTCAAGCCTCAGTTCGCGATGGCCTACTCTGGAAAGGCCGCCGTTGGGAATTATTTGGCCGAAAAAGCCAAGGAGGGAAAGATCAATTACATCACGATCAAAGCTGGTGTTCTCTGGGGCATGCGTTCGTACTATCATTCCACCTTTACCTCTTTTACCAACATATTTTTATAGCACTCGACATGGCTTTTATGATCGATACAAAGTCCCGAAAGGCAACTCTCTACGACACTGGTGAACAAAAGTTCCACTCTACGACGCTCCCATCCATCGGCAAGGCAGTCGCAGGCGTCCTCTCCTCTCCCTCCGAATACCTCAACAAGGATGTCTACATTCACGACTTTTACACAACTCAAGCCGAAATACTCAATATCGTCCAATCCGAAGTCGGCGAAACGTTTGAGACCCAGAGCGTCGACATGACCGCAATGGGCGAACAGTCGATTGCAGGGTTGAAGAAAGGCGATTATAGCCCTCCTACGTTTTATGGGTTGGTGAAGAGTGCGGCGTGGGGTAAGGAAGGAGCGGCGGATTGGGATCCAAAGGATAGTAGTGCGGCTCTTGGGCTTGGACAGCTGGATCTCAAAGAAGAGGTCAAGAAATTGTTGGGGAACCAGTACTGAGTGGTGCCTTCACCCTGCTGATCTTAACGGATTGCCCCGAATAGCTTTCTCGTGTAATACACATTTACTTGAATAATTTTGGCGCAAATTTGCCCAGGTGTCGTTCTAAATCCGATTATGAAAGTTCGAACCAATTAAATATACTTTTTGATCAATGTCTATAGTGCCGAAGAAAGGAAGAAAATGGCGTATTTCTCCGCGGTAATGTTGTGACTCGGTGCGGTCGCACTTCTAGTCCAAGTTGAACTCGGCCGCAACCGGCACCAAAATGGGGCACCCCTCCTGTATGACGACTTCACGGATACAATACTAGAGAGAGAACTCAATTGGATATGGAGATGGGATTCGACTCGCAAAGGGTAAACCTTTCAGTCGACGACTTCCTCTCCAACCTGACTGGCCACTCGGGGAAACTGCGGCGCAAGTGATGAAGTTTATCGATATCGCTTAGCGACATTCCTTCAGCTCATTAGTCATGAAAGAGTTTTGCTATAAAAGGCGATAGCTTACGACGCAATACTCGCGTGTTTACCCCGCTCGACAACTCTCAACAAGCGTCCACAACCTAGAGGATGACGGAATACTTCGAGTTCAAAGCTAATGAAAAGATGGAGTATAGAAGGTATATTCTCATTTCTGCTCTTTTTTCGGTACCTGATGAGGATTCGTCCCTTCTAGGCTCGGGCTTTCTGGCCTTCGTGTCTCAAATCTTTCTCTGGGAGGATGTAAGTGACCTTTGTCCCATACGCTCTATGAAGATAATCTAACTCTATCATCATAGGGTTGACAATTGGAGGCACGGTGAAAGGAGACCCAGTTCGAGACATCATCAAGTGCGCTTGGGAAAATGGAGTCAACTTTATCGATACAGCAGAAGGTATTGGATGTCACTCACTCATGAATAAATCCAGTTCAACTGATTATCACGAATTGAAGGGTATGCCGAGGGACAGTCAGAGCGCGAAATGTAGGTTCGCCTTCCAATTTTCTCTGACATCACTTGAGCTAATTAC